GACAGTAGCCAAAATAGATTTATGTTTATTAGTTAGAACAAAACAAAAAAAAAAAAAAAGTTTACAACTTATATCTCTCTTTATCAGTAAAAGTAAAGCAAACTTGGGCCTCTGTTTATCAGTTCAGGTGTTGTCAACTCAGGTCTTTGTATATTAATAAGAGAGTAGCCTACGTCTTTTTCACTATCCTCAAGGGTTTTGCTAACAGGCTTGGGTGATTACACCTCTCCACAACCTATGATCTCCGACATTATAAATAATGAACAGACAATGTTTTTATTAATACTCATAGAAAAAAGTACAAAGATAGAAGGACACACTAGACAACATAAAAGTTGAAAGCTATACTTGCTGTGTTAAAAATCAAACCTGTCACCCCCAAACGAAGAACACGCCTGAGTGTGGAACAAGTGTGCAGAGACGCATGACCACCTTGGCACCCATACACAAGTGTTTTCATTAGCCATGTCTGTTGTGTAGTTTAATAGCTTGTCATATCACCTTAGAGCACTTGTTTCCACAGTTGAGGCTGACAGGTTTGATTCCTGGCAAGAAAACTAAAAACTTTTACATTTTATGTTTGTCTAGTGTGTCCATCCAATCTTTTTACTTCTCTCTAGGAGTGCTGATCAATACATTATCGGTTTGTTTATTATTTATAATGTTTTTACGGCCTCAAGAGTTCCCCGTATGTTTATTTATATGAGTTACAAGATCTCCAACACCCTGTCATGTGCTGACAACCTTCCATGCCATGATAAAAGGATTTCATGAATCTTCTTGAATTGTCTTCCTCTGTCTTGCTCTCCACAAATCTTTCCAGCCGTGACAGGATGTTCCAGTTTCTTTCTTCCTATAATGTGTTCCAAAAATTATGACTGTCTTTTTAAGATATTTATGATAAGTGGTATTTTGGTCTTCACCTCTTTGAAACATCTGGATTACTTATTTTGGCTGTTTAGGGAAGTTTAAACATTCTTCTGCAAAACCATTTCTCTGAGGCCCTGTGGAAATTGTGTGCCTTGTTTTCTAATTGTCCAGAATATTCAACCATATGCTAAAACTGGATCTATATCGCATGCAACATTTTATTTTCTAACATCCCTTGACATGAGTTTAATGCGTAAGATGTTCTTCCGAATATAATTTTTTTTATTTGGATAACCCACTTAAATCTCTAATTATTAGTGAAAGACTAAACAACTTAGATTTCTGTTTATCAGAAAAGGTTTCACAAAATGTGATCTTTGTTCATTGGAAAGAGAGTAGCACAATTACAACTGCTTATTATTAGGAGTCAATCAATTTAGATCCTTGTTAGTCAGTAAAACTGTAGTCAACTGTGATCTTTAGTAACACACACACGTTCACACACACACGCACGCACGCGCACACACACAAATTTCAAATTTGGGTTCAAAGCCCCATTGTGGAGAAATAACTAGATCCACAGCGCCTTAACAAGCATGTTTCAAAAGGCGACTAATTAAGGAGTGCTTTTTTTTTAAAACTCGGATTGCATGTGCATGAGAAGCAAGGAATCAACAGTCTGCATGCAGATAAGCCAGATCTGTAAAATTGATGTGCATGCACAATTTAAGTTATAGAACAGGACCAATGTTTAGAAATGGGTGAGCAACCAAAACTTTCCACCATAGTATAAAGTCGGTGAACGCTATGCAGAAGAAGAAGAAAAAAAAGGAAGAAGAAAAGGAAGAAGAAGAAGAAGAAGAAGAAGAAGAAGAAGAAGAAGAAGAAGAAGAAGAAGAAGAAGAAGAAGAAGAAGAAGAAGAAGAAGAAGAAAAAGAAAAGAAGAAGACGACGTAAATATATATCCAGTATGGATATCTATCTGTTCGTTAAAACATTATCCAACCTCTATCCCTATCCGCAGACAATCAGTAAGAGTTGATACAATGGGAGGTCAACCATTATGTATGCAGCAATACTACCAGATACTGAATTCCTGCAGGATTCCCGGGGTCAGAAGAGATGACCACGTGTGTTCTGGACCCAGTGACCCACACCTGCCTAAACATATTATAGTGGCCCATAACAATCATGTATGTGTTCAAAATAACTATACTTCTTCCTCTTCATCTTCTTCTCCTTTTTCTTATTCTCGTTCGCCAGCTGTGGACTCTGACAAAAAGGCTATGGTTGTTCGTCCATTTCTGGACTTTGGTCTTGTCCCAGAACAAGAGTTTTGCATGCACATATGTTTTACAGATCTGGCTTTTTTGGATGCAAACTATTGGTTCTTCGTCTTTCATGCAGACGCACTCAGACTTTGAATGAAACACATCTTATTAGTAGCATTGTACGACATGCTTGTTAGTGAGGCAGTGGGTCTATACTTTGTCCCCCCCCCCCTTCTCCCCTCCCAGTGGGGACAGGAACCCACAGAGGTATAAATAACTATACAAATGCTTCATATTTTTCTGTTGTTTAATGTTTATTATGCTTTGTACTGGCATGGTAGTACTATGTAAGTCGTATGAGAGGGAGCTAAAGAGGGTTGGCACAAGACTGGCAACCTCAGCCAGAAGGAAAAATGACAGTCTCTGTGGCCAAGCGATCAAGCTGTTTGCCTCATGCCCTAAAGGTTATGCGTTCATGTCACGGCTGCATTGTCTGGTTCACGAGTGCAGGTTTTTTTAATTATCTTGGGATGACTGCTGGAGCTATGGAGCTCATGCTGTGTGTGATGCTCTCGGCAGGTGGCTAGCCCTTCTGTAGAGAGAAAGAGACTAAGCTATATGGGATAAAACCCAGTGCACTGAAGTTGATCCTCTCACTTCTAACATTTTAACCAGAAGGAAATAGCTACAAAGCCAAAAGAGTCATAAACAGGTATATGAAGGGCATGACAGGAGTTGGTTGGATGCCTAAGCTCCATTAAGAGGAGGAGGCGGAGAAGGAAAACGAGGAGGGGAAGAAAGAAGAAGGAGAAGGATAGAAGACGAAGAAAAAAGACTGATAATGTCTATGTTTATACAACGGATCAACATATATAACCCATAAGTACTCCGTTCTACTTTTAACTCAAGCTTGTGCCCGAAGCCTCTTAGCGCAGTTCACGAACTCAGTGCAAAGGAAGTGGTGGACAAGGAGGCGGCAGCAGCGAAGGTAAAGCAACAGCTGCAGCAGGAGAAGGAATAGAAACAGATATAAGAACAATCAACATTGTCAATTAAGATGCGTGGAATAGATCATATTATGTAACTCAGTTGTAGTGAAGTTGACACTAGTTTTTAAATAAATAAATAAATGTGAAATCTGAGTAAATATAATGGCACGATGAGCTGTGAATTAATGGTACTTAGTGGCCTAATAGTCCGCTCTGTGGCTAAGTCGATGCGAACACTTCGTAATGCCGGGGTGCCGGGTTCGATCCCAGCTGCGGGCCATGTGCCTTGCGTTGGTTTCGACAGTGGTATCAGGGGCAGACCGTCCAGAGGGCAGTGACAAACTACTGGACATAAATTTGCCTAGATAAACCACACAACAGCCAGGGGCTGCTGGGGTTGGTTCTGCAACGTCCTGTAAAGAATACGCAACTAACCTAGTGACCTAATATCAGAGTCTAAGACGTAACTTCATGAAAACAAGATACCACCAGTACTAGCCACAGAGTATCTATTGCAGTAGCGTTGACAACAACAAAATGTCTTGAGAAAGATGCCAGTACTGCAGACCAGCAGATAAAAGCTCCCCCCCCCCCTTTTTTTTTTAATTTGAGCAAATGTAAACAAAATTGACATTGCTTCCTAGGTTGACTCAGTTGGAAATGAGTATCAGAAAATGAACTGGGAAGTAAAGATGGCTGCCATGATAGCCACAACATCACCCATTGAGCGCTGATTGGTCAGCACAAATAGAGGGCTACAATATGCTTAGCACAACTGACTGTGTGGAATGGGGGGGGGGGGGGGGATTTTTTTTACAATTTTTGGTTTAGAAATGTTTCGAGGTAAAATATAGAGAATTTATTGTTTTGAATTTATTTCTGCCAGTTTTTTTCGCTGGATGTGTATGGTGAGCAAAACAAACCACTGAGTCTGCGGCAGCTCTCCCAACAATTAGATGACTGTATCAACCACAGCAAGGAGCCAGCGACACCTGTTGGTGTTCTCACTACCATGGAGCGAACTGCATGGGGGAAGGCATACGCTGACATGTTGCAAGGTTGGCTCATTGTGTGATGTTAGAGTTGCCTTTCAATGACATCAGGGTTTTACTGCATTGTCTTCTTTTTCTTCTGCATTTTCCCTTAAATGGAAGTTGGTCTTTATGTCTTTGACTCTGCGGGTTCCAGTGCAAAGATATTATAGTTATTATTAAATTTTCTCAACGTGTGCCAGATCCGACGTAAGCTTCTTTTCCAACACTCTTGAAAAACTTTAATTTGTTTAGTTCTCTCCCAAAGCTCCACATTAGTGATCCTGTCATCAAGACTTTTGGATTTAAAATATAAACACAAAAGGTGCCGGTACTTGACACAAACGATCTCACAAAGGTTCCAGTACTCACCACCAAATGCTTACTGCAGTAGTGCTGAAAAAAAAAAATAATGCGAAGAAAGGTGCCGATACAGCATACTGTTTCGTAATGCAGGTAAGGGGGGGGGGGGGCGGGACCCAGCGTATCCTACTGTTTGCAATATCATCTCTTTTCTCGCCTTTAAGCACATCGGGCATGTGGGAAGAGCACCTTTATTTTTTACAGACCAATCGGCACTAGATGGGTAATGTGGTCAACATTACGCCGACCGTCTTTACTTTCCCAGGACTTACATCCTGCTACCCATTTCAGGCTGGGTCGATCTGCGACGTCCCATGCCATGATAAAAATTCACGCAGATCCTACTGTTTAATTCCCTGTTTTCTGCACAGGCACCAGTTAATGAATGTTTGTATTTATTAGTAATTATTTTCGTCATTCTTCATGTTTTAGTTCCATACAACAGTACTGCTACATGTGTTTATGGTACATTACAGATGCAACAAACAAGGCTTCATTGGAAAGGATTCACAACAGTATATTTATGCTATGTTTGGATGGCCCGCAGCCAGCAGGTGATGGTGACCCTTTTGACCTGGCAGCTTCTATTGTTCTTCATGGGGGAGGCAGTGATTTGTACACAGCCAATCGGTGGTTTGATAAAACCTTACAGGTCAGTGAGTGAAAATTAACTAAAACAGAAGGGTAGATGTTTTTTTGTTTGTGTATGACGCCCCCATGTATGAGACGACCACACATTTTTTTTAAAAGCCAGAATTAAAAAATAAATATTTAATCGCAATGCGTGTTTAAGACTACCCCAATTATCATCTCATAGGTATACAAGACATACGGTCTTGTGCAGCAGCCTCTTACGTCAGGCTAGTAGGGAAGTGTGCTAGTCACTATGCTATCTAGGCTCTTCGTGTAATTTTGTTTTTTTAAACTGAACTTTTATTTTTCTGCTTTCCCCCTTATAGTTTAGTTTTCCCTGCCTTACTATGTTTATTTCTAGGGCGTTCTAAATTTAGATTTTGTGTCTTTGATGTTAGTGGGTGTCTGTACCTTAGTCGCTGCAAACACACTTCACAATTATGTGGTTCCAGGTTCGTGTCGTGAAATGATAGTCATTACACATCGGTTTGTAAGGCTGATAACCTGTCTTACCTGTAATCTGCACAAAATTCAAACTTGGACTCGCCCAGAAATATATAGTCCCTTATATCTATATATATAGGCCTGTATTGGACAACATTATTATGTCTGCCTTTTCTGGGTACTTTAACTAAACTCCACTTTTAAATGTATATCTCTTGGGGATATATTTAGGGAGTTAATTGAGGTTTCTTGGAAACCGATTTACTCCTTGCCCCAGTATACAAGGAACTTCTTTTGTAACAACGCCTGAAATGTTTAACTGACGCCATTCTCCTTGCCAGCTTCTCAAGCCTCCAGATGTGTTAATATGTGCCTGTATACTGTCAATTTTCAAGGCAATCTGGAAATGTCTCAGTTTTTACATATGCTTGGGATGTATATTTTCTGAAGAGCTGGCAGAAGATTCACAGTCTCAACAACATCCACCCACCAATCCAACCACCAGAACCAACTTGTTACCCACCAGCTAACACCTGTGAAGGTTCCTGACATCTCCAAAATGGGGGGGGGAGATTGTGCCTCAAACAGCTACCAGTGCCAGAGTAATGTGGCTCTAAGACATTGTGTGTCCTTACTGGTGATATAGACATGCTAGATACCAGTACAGTTGCTGTACAGTGAAGTACTCTTGCTACTTGATCCAGTGGAGCAGAATTCCCAGAGTCAAAGACAGTCAAATCATCCGGAGCTGAGGGAGGCATCATAGACAGAGATAAGAGAAGATAAGTCTAATGCTTCGCATGATGTTGTGTTCCTCACAGCTTCCTGTGTCCAGTGATGAAAAGATGTCATCTCCAAGGCCTTCTGTCTGTGTAGATCCTAGTGATTTGGACATGATATCCTGAGATCTGGCAATTGTCTCACTTTTATATATCTAATTTATATTGATTATATACATTCATTTTCATGGCTGACTTAGGTGTCTCTATTTCACCGTTGTTAAGTGTTTCGCAGTTGTGTATGTATGTGTATCTTCTTTATATGTGTTAACATGGTTATGATAATGAACTATCATAACCTGGGGGCTTTCTTTAATAAGTAGTGGGGGTGTCCAGCCAAGTGTGCCTAGAAATAATATATATATATATATATATATATATATATTGACATATTTTGTAGTGCCAATACTTGAGTTGCCCTACTCCAGAGATAAGTTGATCGTATATTGGCCACGGGGAATCCCTTAGACCAATACGAGCCAAACGACTCAACAAAATTATCTCTGAGTGCTGCTGGTTCTGAAGGAGAAATCCTTACATTAGGCACGCGACAGGAGTGATATGTGACAGTTCGACGCCAGTGATTTAGCAGCAGACCACCTTGCTTTGGTTTCAACACAGGTATCAAAAGCTGACCATTCGTAAACATTGGCAAACTACTGAATGTAAAATTACCTAAAAAAATCAAAAACAGCAATGCTGGGGTTGGCTCTGCCACGTCCCGTAATGGACACACTACTAACTTTGATATTATGTTGTTAAAGTTTACAAGTAAAAGGGAAGAAGATCAATTGGATTTAAACCCACATATCTCGGATTCTTTCTGCGGAATGGCCAACCACCTGTTAAGAGCATCACACAAAGTACGAGCTCTGTAGCTGTGGCGACGATCCCCGTGACAATACTTAAAAATTGCACTGATGAACTGAATGACACAAACATAAAATAAACCCACACCCATCTGAGCACTTGGCAAACGGCTTGACCACTTTGTTTTGGAGAGCCCTGTATGTTATGTTGTATCGTCAGCCAATCATATGCCGTCTCCACAGTGAAGGTTGGACGTAGTGAATCATCAACATCGCTCTGTCTAATTTTATTTGCATACTTTCTTTCGAAGTCAAAGGGCATCTGCCTGTGTTGTGGGGAACCACAGTCTGAATACAAATAAGCCACATCTGAAAAGTGGGTGTACATGCACTACTTAAGTTCTATGCTTAGTGGCTTTAGAATCATCACCTTACAAAACACATTTGGGAAGGTCTTGAAGAAGATAGTTGCTGTAAAGCAGCAAGCATTTTCGGAAAGCAGGAAGCTTCTACCAAGAGGTCTTGGAAGCTACAGGCCAGGAAAGGACACTTAGGAAAATGAAGGGTTCCAGAACAGACAGGAAACTATGGCGGTAGGACTGGATCTCGTGAATGCTTATAACAGAATGAGATACGACATCTTAATGACTGCACTGAAGGAGAAGGAGGTCAGTCCATGGCTGGTGAGTTGGGTTGCAGCTGTCCTGTATTCACGTCTGGTTGCTCTCCGACTGGGCTCATGGAGGTCAGAACCATGCACTTTTGCCCCAGGACTGCCACGGGGATCCACCATCTCGCCTGTGCTCTTTAACGTGTATACGAGCAAGATTGCAAGCCTAGAAGCACCAGGAGTTGGAAGGATACTGACTTTTGCGGATGATATACTTGTATATAGTCAGGGGGAAGAAAGGGAACAAACAGCCCGGGAGCTACAAGCGACAGTAGACAAAGTGACTAAGTAGTGTAAAGAAATGAGGGCTGTCGTCCACCCGGAAAAGGCGTCTGTTTTGCGGTGTTCTCTGGACAACAGAATCGTTAAAACAAGTCTCACGATAGATGGTAGAAACGTCAACAGAGAGAGCAAACTGAAGTATCTGGAAATTACATTTGACAGGAGCCTGTCATTTAAGGACCATGTTTAGAGTGTTGTGACGAGATGCCAAAAAGGACTTAGTGCACTTAAGACTATGGCTGCAATTGACATAGAGCAGAGAATGCTTTTCACACTAAATCAGCACCTGATCCTGTCAGAGGTGGATTATGGCCTGGGACTGCTTACCGTCTCAAAGAGTAAGATGGACAAACTAGAGCGCATACAGAACGCGGCTATGCGGGTCATTCTGGGTTGCACCAGAGACACCCCAGTTGTGTGTATGCGATACATCATTGGTTTGCTGACGGTTGCAGGTAGGCACAATTTGCTGCTGGCCAATCTCTGCATTTTAGGCTCAGCGTGATTATGACTCTACACAAGTCTGACTCTTAAGGTGGCACTCTGACCCACTCCTCTCCTCGCCTAAAGTTCTCAAGGATGCAAACCTGTCTGTGTCTTCTGCCTGAGCCATCCATGACCTCCCTCTTATCAGCCGCTGACCCTTAACTGCACCCAAAGCTTCATGCAGAGGGTGGTCTGTGTCTGCAACTACCCTGAGATATGACTTCGCCTGCAGCACCTTGTGCCTACCTGCAACCGTCGGCAAACCAAGGATGTATCGCATACACACCACTCGAGGCTCAGAGGAAAGGCAAGACGGACGTTTAATCAGAATGTTACTGACACCATTAGTATTGGAACTCTTCGCTGGCTGCTGAAGATGGGGATGGAGCGCTTATAGGAATTCCCCGGGTGCTGTGATGTCGGTTCCTGAATCAAATCAATTCAAATCAAATCAAGTTCTGGAACAAACCAAGGTCAAGACGTGGAGGAACAACCAGAAATTTCTGCCGGATTTTGCAGCCAATGAACGACGAGAAGAAGAAGAAAAAGAAGAAAAAGAAGAAGAGGTTGTAAACTCTCTAAAAATGTTTAGAGCCACTTGTTTTGCTGTTGGCCTCTTGCTTACTTGCTATGTTTCTGCACCATACAGAAGAACTGAGTCAAAAACGCATCTGACAATTCTAATTTCTAATGTTTACCTCTGTTGAATACAATTATTGATTGTCTTTTATAAAGTTTATACTAAGTCAAGATGGACATATTGGTATCAACTTTGAGCATACAGTCGCAGAGGGACCTGCAATCATTGGTCTTTTTGAACATGTTCTAGAATTTCTGTAAGTCAAAGTTAATGTTGAGAAATTTTATTTCATCATCTTTGTACGTTAATGGTTATGATTGTTTATTTTATTTTTATTTTTTTTTTTAAAAACTTTTTCTGACAAAACATAGTGCATAATTAATTCAAAATTATTGATTTGTTTAATTATGAGGTATCTGTGGGTTTCCCCCATGCTTTTCTAATAAAGCCCTTGGAATAGATTTTAATTGAATGCTCCTTATATAAAAAAAAAATCCTAAGAAATTGTTGATTGTTGATTGCATGGGGAACACACACATATACACAAACACAAACATGTACGCACACACTCATACACATACACTGTCCTGATACACTATTTATCTCATTATATGAAGTAGATATCTTAATGTAATATAAACTTCCATCTCAAATGTTAAATAACACTATTAGATACTCTAATATACACTTCTTTCAGCTTCAAAACTTCAAATTTCAGTGAAAAAAGCCAGGAGCTGTCAATGGCAGCAGCAAGGGTTAAACCCCCACAGCAACTTTGCTTCAACATCAGCAGTGGGTTGCAGGAAGTCATCAACCAAGCAGTTCACGAGGCAGATTTGTAAGTTCTTTCTGTGCATCTGTTATTCTCTGTTTAATCTAAATTACAAATAGATCTATCATCTTTGTCTGTTTCATTATCCAGGACAGTATCCGTTGAGCCTTGACTTGTTTGTTGGCACCTTTCCGTCTTTGCAGACGACAGTGTTACATTGTGCTTTGAGAAAGCATGAGACCAGTGTTGCCACTTTGGATGTTGTACATCCAGATTTAGATGTTTCCCCTTGCATTAAGATGGCGTTTTTGATGTTTAGATGGTAAATGTTTTTCTAGTTGTTTTTCATTTGGAGTGAATTTATCAAATCTAACCTAAGCAAAAGGATATTTGACCTCTTAGATGCTATCTTGACAATAAAATTCGGCCTGAAAAGAGTAGGAAAAGGCTGTTCCCTTGATCTTCTTCCTGATTGGGTATTAAAAGAAATTAGAACAGCTAAAGCATAGCAGAGTCATTCTGGATCTGAAGCTTCAACATCATCATCCAAGCTAAGTTTATCCTGTGGATCTTGTGAGGCAGACTTCAGTAAAGATGAGGACATGATTCTATAGGGTAAGTCATATCAATTGCTATGTAATTTGTGGCTCTTTCTATTTTGATGTTTTTTCTAGATGTTTTTCACGCAAATTTAGATGTTTTTAGATATTTTTTAACTCCGTTCTGGATGTTTTTTGTCAAAGAAAAGTGGCAACACTGCAAGGGCGTGTGTGACTAGCAAGACCCGCCCGCGTTAGGAAAAGTCTTTCACATTTAGAGTATGCGATTTCCGGACTTTTGTTGCCATCAAATGTATTTAGTATGTTTCTTCTCAGACGCCCAGCTCTCATCCTTTCTGTAATCATTTTTGTTTTCTTTATTATCGTCCCCTTCTTGGTTTGCCTCCTTCCATGCATCAAGGTCTATGGCATTTTGTTCCCATTCATCTAACTCAATACCTGCATCATTCATGTCCTGCCTGCACATATCTTTATATTTTAGTAGAGACCAACTTCGACATCTTCTACCCCTCTGTATTTCACCATAGTTTATAAGCCTTGATTATGCTCTAACTATGGTGATGGGGACGTGAGTGGTCTCGAGGTACGGCGTCCGCCTCGAGTGCTAGAGTTCCGAGCTCAAACCCCGGTGAAGGCTGGGATTTCTTGATGTGGACTTCTAGTTTTTTTCCCCAGGTCTCTCAGCACTGAGCTGAGATTCTTCAGACTCAGGTTTGAGTTCGACGTAGAACGGAGCACCTATGGGTTACAGCCGGGTGCCATGATGTGGATGAACTAAAACTAATCTACCTATGGTGATACATGCTTGTCGGTCTAGCAAGTGTATGAAGGGAGTAGGAAGTTTCAAAATGGCTTGTGTTCTGTGACAGACTGTTCATGTCCGGGTCAGGTGAACTGAGCAGTGACCTCAGAGTCAATTGCGGCAGTTGAAGGTCTTGTGCAAGAAACCCACCAAACTTGTTTGGTCCAGTATGCATCACCATATTGGACCATTTGCCAATGAATCTCTACAGGTTTCATCATTTCACTGAACAGAACACGGATAACTGAACACTACTCCTCTTTGGTTCATGTCAAAAGTGGAATGACCATCTTTACACTGTAATTGTAACTTCACTGTGTTTATCAGCACTGCGTTGTAATGTGCTAAAGACTCTTGACATCCTCAACAACACCACTGACAGGTTACAAGATACTGACATGGTTGCTGAAATTTCACTCACACACATTTAAGATTTTCACTTGAAGCCTCCTCGTATTAAGGTAGGTAGTGTTAGCGCTATAATTTTTAAACCAGTCGGTACTTAAAAAGTGAAACTGTCAGTGTGCTATTTATCGGTTGTTTGACTGAATTTCTAAGCAACGCTGCAGCTTGACAGGTCGATATTTTCCTCCAACAGGGCTGTGAATAATCTGATGCTTCGGGGACTGTTTTTCAAGGACTACGGTAAAAACCTGATCAAGGAGCATGGATTGAGCCCTGATGCTTTCATTCAGATGGCCATTCAACTGGCATATTACAGGCAAGTTACTCATAACTCAAGAGAGACAACCATCATCTTCAATTTTTCATCTCCCAATGGACGTTGGCTCTCGGTAAACTCACTTCGAGTCCTTTCTAGACTTGTTCAAGTTTGGTTTTATCAGTAAAGATTTCTGCAGAACAAGGTATCTATTCCCAAACCAATCATCCTTAGTTATCTTTTACACAACGTATGGTTGATTACGTAGTTATGAGGCACTGTTTCTCTTATATGGCTCTGCAGCGCCTTTTCATTTAAAAAAAAGGTTCTCATACCCACCATCAAATAACCTTTGCAGGTCCTTTGCAGAACGTCGCTCTTGAAGTCACTTATATCCTGTGTCCATATTCGGGTTGGTCGGCCCCTGCCTCTCCTTCCTGGTACCATGCCCTCTGCTATTATTTTTTTACGGTCCGTCGTGGCGCTTGATATGACCAAAATATTTCAGCTTCCGAGACAGGATGTTGTTTATTAGCCAATCTTCCTTAATGTTCAGATCTTTCAAGATGTCAATATTTCTCTTTTTTGTGTGTGTCATAGAGTCTTAGTGCTCTAGGGGAAAAAATGGACTGCCACAGATCAAGTTTAAAATCTGGATTGTTGGGTTAATAAGCCATTGCACTCTACCACCAGATCTCCACTGTAGGTAAGGGAACTCGAATAAATAAACTTCATTGTTTTTTGACCTTGTTATAACTAAAATCTAACAAAAAGGTTTGTGTGTGTGTGTCTGGCGGTAAGCAATGGTACGCAATGTTGGGACTTTAATTTTAGTCACATTATTTTTCACCGCTACTGTACTAGAGAACTACTGAACATAACATTTGACTAGAAAAACCACAACAGCCCCAAAATGCTGGGATTTGTTCTCTAACGTCCTGCAAAGGATACAACTAGCTTAAAAAAACACACACACTGTAATAGACACTTCAGTAAGTACAAACTCTTATCTTAGACATTTGTGGTGAGTACTGACACTTTTTTTTGTTCTAGAAAAATACCATGATATCCAGTATTAGTGTTCCACCATTTCAAAAATCAAAAGGTTAATTTGATCAGCCAAGCTTTATTTACTAATTTTGGTAAGTGTGTTTCTGTTTTAATCGAGGAAGGAGTAGTGTGTTTCATATTTGAATCTTCATTAAGGTAACGTGTTTTTTTTTTAGAAAGTTTTTGACAACTACCCCTAGACATGTTTGAAATCCTCAAACTAAAAAATGACACCCTTCCCTACCCCTTTCGTTTCCCCACACCATCTTAAAAAGGGGAATACGGTCAGTAAAAAATCTAGCCTTTTTAATAGTTACTAGACTCGATTTTGAGCTGAAATGGTATAAAAAATTCTCAGAATATCTTGGGCAAAGAAGAGGAGAAATACTTACATCTTGAAAAATCTGAACATCTAGGAAGATTCGTTAAAAAACAGCATCCTGTCTCGGAAGCTTAAAATTTTTTGGCCATATCAAGCATCACGAAAAAAATATTAGCAGAAGGCATGGTACCAGGAAGGAGGGACAGGAGCCGACCAACACGCAGATGGGCACAGGATATAAGTGACTCCTTGAGTATGAGAGTACATGAGGCGGGAGAGCTGGTGAGAGGCCGAGCTTCTTTCGGGCAGACCGTGATGAGAGCGACGTTCTGCAAAAGACCTGCTAGAAGATGAGGATGATAGTCGATAGTTGTCATCGTGCTCTTTAGTTTTTTTAAAATATCATTTCTGGTTATCCATGATTAGACAATAGAAACACTTGTCTCTTCAGGATACACAGACAACCGTGTGCAACATACGAAGCCGGTTCATTGAGAAAATTCAAGTTAGGACGTACTGATGCCATTTACTCCTGCTCCATATCTTCCGTGGCATTTACCAAAGGGATGGATGACCCATCCTTGTCATCCAGGGAGAAGATGGAGCTTCTGAAAGCAGCAGTGGGGTCACACAAGAAGCACACTGATGATGTATGTTATCAGTAAACTGTTTGTATCTGAATTTTGCTGATTTATCCATTTGTTTTATCTTTTTGTCAATTTTTTTTCGGGTGTCATTCTTATAAAGTCATTTGTTTGTTAGAGCGGGTCTGGGATCCATAGAGAGAGAGTTTAGTGACACTGGCAGGCTACAGAATAGATGATTCCCTGGTGATTCTTGAAGACAACTTTAGTTTCCCAGGTGATTCTTGAAGACAAATGTAAATGTTATTCTGGTACTTGTTAAAGGCAACTTTAGTTTCCCACGTGATTTTTGGAGACAAATGTAGATGTTATTCTGGTACTTGCTAAAGGCAACTTTAGTTTCCCAGGTGATTCTTGAAGACAAATGTAAATGTTATTCTGGTACTTGTTAAAGGCAACTTTAGTTTCCCAGGTGATTTTTGGAAACAAATGTAGATGTTATTCTGGTACTTGTTGAAGGCAACTTTAGTTTTCCAGGTGATTCTTGGAGACAAATGTAGATGTTATTCTGGTTCTTGTTAAAGGCAACTTAAGTTTCCCAGGTGATTCTTGGAGGCAAATGTAGATGCTATTTTTGGTACTTGTTGAAGGCAACTTTAGTTTCCCCGGTGATTCTTGGAGACAAATCTAGAAGATGTTACCCTGGATATTTTTTTAAACAAACTGCAGTTTCTGTAGTGATCGTTAAAAACACATGTAGCAAATTTTTTCCTTAGAAATTGATAGTATGGATGAGAATGGGATTCATACATGTGTAAAAAAGATAACAACTGTATACCTTGCCTGTTTGTTTAAAATGTTTAACAATGAATATATTTCTTTTTATTCATAGTTACTCATTGTTGTTAGATCTGCCTAAAACATCCACAATTCTTTGCTTACTGCATGTTACTAATGCAACATAGGTTAGGTTAGTTGCGAATCCCTTGCAGAACCAACCCCAACAGCCCCTACCTGTTGTGTGGTTTTTCTAGGCAAATTTACATCCAGTAGTTTGCCATTGCTTTCCATACAGTGGGCTTTCTTGATACCACTGTCGAAACAAACGCAACGCGCAAGGCCCGCAGCTGGGATCGAACCCAGCATCCCGGCATTACAAGGCGTTCGCGTCGACTTAGCCACAGAGCCGACTAATGCAGCATATATATATTTTATACATAAGTGAAATAGATAACAACTGTATACCTTGCTTCTTTGTTGAACATTTTAAACAATCTATATCTTTCTTTTTAATCATAGTTACTCCCTGGATGGTTGTTAATATGGTTGTTATTGGAAGGAACAAGACATTAGATCCACCTAAAACATCCACAATTCTTTGCTTATTGCATGTTGTAAATGTGAAGGGTTTAGATATACATGAGCTCCACCCAAACATCCACCATTCTTGATCTCATATAGGTTACTGCAGGGACAGATATATCCATACATAACAGCTTCAACCATCAAGCATCCAAAATTCTTTGCCTTTTACAGGTTGTTGATGGGAAGGGTCCTAGAAAAAACCTTCAGTACTCACCTCAAAGTGTATATTACAGCAATGCTGAAAAAGAAAAGGAATGCATAAAAAAGTGCCATGACTGTGTACCTTTTGGTCATCATCATCAATTTCCACTTCTGCCGTTAAGCGACGTGCAGAGGAATCGTTTTGCGATCCATTGTTAGATGGGCAGCAGTGGCTATCATCATTCCCTGTCGACGTATAAGCCCTTTAATGTCATCAATCCATATTCTCCCAAGGCATTACAAATATGTTTGATCGTTGTTGTATTTGTACTTCAGTTATAAAGGATTCACTTATCTGCTTCATTGATGTAATTGTTACTGTAGTATGCACCTGATAAGACACAGCGAAATATGCCTGGCAATAATTTGTGCAATCTATTGTTTGTGTCTTCTTTGTTCAAATTTACAACAGGGAAACATTGCAAAGATAACTATATTGGTAGGGTAAAAGGTTCCCGGAACTGATGCCAGGAGTGTACAAAGATACCTATGTACAAAAATTATTTGTACATAGATTGGTTTTTGTGTTTTATGTACAATTTTTTTTTTTAAACCAGTGTGAATGAAAATAGGGTTGAAAAATAAAAGTTTGGCCTGCGACCAGTTTGACTCACAATCTATTAGTCGGATCTGAACTCTGTCGTGAGTCGAGGAGACCTTGTCTCTCTCTCCCTTCTCTCTCTCTCTCTCTCTCTCTCTCTCTCTCTCTCTCTCTCTCTCTCTCTCTCTCTCTCTCTCTGTGTGAGTGCGTGTGTGTATGCGTGCGTATGTGTGTGTGTGTGTGTGTGTGTGTGGGTGTGTGCGCGTGTGTGCGTGTGCGTGTTTTCATGTGTGTAAAATCCACACCAAGACAGCTGCTAATCCTTACCTCTTACAGGTTGTTAATGGAAAAGGTATCGACAGACATCTGCTGGGACTGAAACTCATGGCACTTGAGAATGGTATGAACACCCCAGAACTATTCATGGACTTGGCTTATAAAGAGAGCACATATTTCAAGATGTTGACCAGTCAGGTACTATCAAGATGTCTGTTCAGGCTACTGCTATTTTTACTGCTAGACTACATTCTTCCATACTACTACAAATAAGCACACTTTTCTTCAGTGATACTTATTCTTGTCGTTTGTCGAGTGAAGTAATTGCGTTGTACCTGTTTACAGCACAGCTGCGATATGTGTAGGCCAACCCATCCAACTTCATCGGGCATTTGTTCACTTGGTTAGCCTTCAATTATAGTTTAGTGTGACATGACGTAGCCTTATTTGTGTGGTATCTTCTTTGTCCTTTAATCTACACGTGTGGTTGCCCGAAGAACGCACACACGGCAACCGCATGTAGACTGGTCGGCCCTCAAGAGAAGCAGTGGCAGATTATGGGCATTCCCCGTCATCTATGGAGGCTTTCATAAATGCAGAGCCAACGCACGATGCTCTGGTCTTGGGCTCACCTAAAGAACCGTCACGCCCTGCACATGACTGCTTAACATCAGCTCCATATGTTGAGCTTCCCATTAATCACGGGCTACACATTTCGGAGATCAACAGGTAGAGGCCAGCACGCCCAGGATTTCGACGACCACACAGACTGACACAATCTTCCTCACCCTCTTGAGTACATTTACCGTTGTTGCATCAAAACTTTCTTGTTACGATATCTTTCATCCCATCTTTTTAACATATCCATCTTTACCAAGGGAAAGCCACTGCTGAAGATTAAGGTAATCTGTATTGTAGTTGGAGATGATGGCGATGATTTTAGTTGATGAATAAAACTTCACAATGGATTAGTTCTAATGAGGTTCCAACTTTCTCTATCCTTGGTGCACTAATACAATCATCTTCCAATCCCGACCAGTTCAAGGTTTAGTGATGTAGTGTGATTGTAGTACTGCAGACTCTTATTCAGGATTTAATGACGCCTTGTTGTGCGATGTTGTGAACATTCTTGCAAAGCATGTAGCCTTCTGATTTAATGTCTTATTCTCTCTATGCTATGGCAACATTTATGTCAAGTATCATCAATTGTAGATATAAGTAAGGTTTTGAAGCCTTAAAAAAATCATTGCAAAACTAGGGGTCGACTCATAGGGCGGCTATAAATACATTAGACAGGTATAAGCTTAACTCAGAGTAGCTCTGTGCAGAGCGGCAAGCATCGTATCATAGGTCCCGGGTAGTTAACATGCTTTGGATATTTTCTCCGATCTCGCTGGTTTGTTGGGAAACGAACAGGCAGATAGACTTGCCTGGTTCTGCACTTCCTGGTGGTGAATTGATGTATGACAATCTACATGTTGTGAGGGCTTTTTGGGGAGCGAGTGACAAGTACGGAGGCAGAAATAGATCATTACGGCCTGAGGAGAATAGCGTTGCGGCGAGTTACCAGGGGATCTGGCCAACGCTCACCACTCAAGGTGAAGGGGAGGCGGATATACACTCACGCAGTTACTAGTACCATCGGAATTGGAACTCTTCGCTTGCTGCTGAAGATGAGGACTGAGCACTTATGGCAGTGTTATTATGTCGATTCTTAATTCAACTTTCAACAAGCCTTGCTCACAATTTTTAGCTAAAGATCTTGAAATAGACTTGCACACCACAATTTACAGTGAATGTTAGTTTTTAATGACTTCAGGTGCCTCTTAACACTAGCAACATTCTTTTTCTGTTAATAATTCTTTTCTGCCCAGCAGGTTGTCTGCAAATACAAAGCCCTGGTGTTTTTTGGACCAGATGAACAAGATGGTTATGGTCTTTGCTACAACCCACAAGATGATGAGCTTATCGTATCCATTAGCTCCTTTAACAAGTGCCCAAAGACTGACTCTGATATCTTCTTGAATAGTCTTGTCAAATCTCTACAGGACATGAAAACACTAGTGACATGTTCTAGTTGTTCACAATAAGTTTATGTCAACACACAGATGCCATATAATGCCGGGGAAAAAAGAGGGCAGTGGGGCTGTTTATTGTCTTAAACATATTTTAAGAATTCTTCATTAAATGTCTATCATGCTTACTCTGTGTTAATCAGGGACGTAAGTAGAGTATTTGGTGCCTATGGCACAGCGGTCAGAAAATATTTTTATAAAATTTTTTTGGGGGTTTAAATTACTGATTTGCTGTGCCACAGGTTTCATAAATCATCAAAATGATCTCGAAAAGCTGTCAGATCGAGGGCAGCATCAAGGATGTAGGAGGTTGGGTGTGGGAGTGGGCGACCGGGGGGGGGGGGGGGGGGGTGCATGCATATTTCCAGCTTTGGCGCCCTCTTTAAGTGGCACCAAAAACATCTACCCTACTCTAGGTACGCCACTGGTGTTAAAAAGTTGTTTCAAAGCTTCGAGGCAGAGTCCGCGAATCATCATCATCACCATCATTATCATCAGCATGGTTATGATCGTAATCATTATCATCAATGTCAGCAACATCATTATCATCATCATCATTATCATCAGCAAGGTTATGATCGTAATCATTATCATCAATGTCAGCAACATCATTATCATCGTCATCATCATTGTCAGCAACATCATTATCATCATCACCATTCTCAGCAACATCATTATCATCATTATCGTCATAATTATCATCATGATTATCATAATGATCATGGTCATCATCATTATTATCATCGCCGTCATCATCATCAACAGCATCCTCATTACCATCATTGACATCATTATCATCATAGTCAACTCCACACTGGTATCACCTTTAATAATTACTTATATTCCGTTGGGGCCAGGGGTGGGGGAAGGTTCAGCTCCTTTTGTTTCTAGAGAGCAAGGGGCTTTAATAATAATAATAATAAAATAATAATAACAATGAGAAGAAGAGGAAAAAGAAAAGGAAGAAGAGCGTTTTTTTAAAGACAAATTTACTTCCAATTGTTTGCTATTGCTTTATGGAGGGTCGGGTTCTCGATACCATTGTCGAAACCAACGCAAGGTGCAAGGCCCGCAGCTGGGATCGAACCCGGCATCCCGGCATTATGAAGCGCGTCGCAACGCCAAAGCCATAGACGCCCACTATCATAAAAATAATAATAATAACATAAATAGTGCACTGAATGGCAAAAACAAAAATATATTAAGTCCTATTAAATGCGCAAACAAAAACTAACAAGAAAAGGTATCTATATAGTTAGGGGGAACCACTTTTCAAATTGTCAGGAAAGGGGGAGGGAAAGGTCACATCTGGGGGAGGGGGGAAGGGACTCAGCCCCAGTACTCAGCTTCCTAGAGGTCAGAACTCGATTAGTGCGACTTGGACTAGAGTCGTATAATTAACTTGCGACTTACTTGGGTCTTTGTCCAATGACTCGCAACTCGTTCTTCGCGACAGACCACTGTGAGGTTTGGTAATCAACGTCACAATTTAAAACGTCTTCATATAAAATATGACAGAATAAATGCTTTTTGAATTTTTTAAGCTTTCACATTTGATTATTTTCCCGCTATTGTATATAGTTCAGTGAGCTTTATCCATAAGCAATGTCCAATGCACGACTTGCAGTGACTTTACTCGGGACTTAAAAACATTCTTGGCAAATTTAGACTTGATGTGGGACTTGGTGGCAGTGACTTAAGACTCGACTTAGACTTGAAAAGGGACAACTTAGTCTAACTTCTGCTGCTTTCCCTGTCCATATGTTTCCCATTTCAATATCTGTTCAGTAATTCTTTGTCCGCTTCGTTTCAGGATGATTATGGCTTATTAGAAAAAATATATAGGCTAACTGTGTTGTGTGAGCGTGTATGAGTGTGTGTTTGTGCAATAGTAACTGTTTCGTTGGTTTGAATTGTTGTTACAAGTTGTCCACATTGTGGTCTATTTTATACCCTTTTTGGTTACGAAATGTTGACAGCTAGTGAGATATCAACACCTACTGTTTGGTGCAGAAACCTGGACAATGAACAAGGAACTAGAAAATCAGAGATGTGGATAGTGAGAACTGATCGTTTTTCATGGAAATAAAGCAGTGAAATGCAAATGTTTTGAAGAGACTGGAGATGAGAGAGAAAAAAAAAAAGACCTATTGAAAGACATAACACAAGAGAACAGTGATTCATTGACATATCACTTTAAAAATAATGCTGAAGAGTAAGAAGGCAAAAGAGCAAGAGGCAAACAACATTTCAAGTGAGATTATAAATCGAGAGATGGACGAACAGCAGTACAATCAAGACGAGAGGCAGAGAGTGTTGAAGATCCTTTGCAGCCATCTCTCTTTCCGGAGTTGGCATTTGACTGACTGACTGTGTCGCTTAGTTTTTGACCTCGCGGGCTTCCATACTCGGGTCCGGGAGGGAAACCAGGCAGTTCACGTGAGAGTGCCTGCCAACAACATGTAAACAACATGGCGGATGGCGCTCGCTCCTAACAGATTATTGTACATAGCTTGTCGATGAATGTAAGGGTAGTTTAAAATCGATGAATAGAACAGTACAACTTAAGAACAATAAATATGCCAACTTAGAATCAGAAGTGTACATAAATAATATTATATAGTTTATAGTACAGTACACATTCCCTGGTGTCCCTGCGTTGTTTTTTTTTTTAAACCAACACCATCTGACTATCTCAACTATCTGTTCACCAGTCAACACGAACGTATGTTTCTCTCTCTCTTGTTTTGGTAATAATAATAATAATAATATAACTGCTGCGTTTAACAGAGTATTATTTACCATAAAACCATATCGCTCTTCTCTTATTTTTAAAAATTAAAATTACTCTTTAGCAATTCCAGCCCTTGAGGTCTATCGTTCCAGATATCACTCACCTCCATTCATCCCCATGGTGGGCATTCTCTTTCCACTTGTTGACTGCAAGTGTTTATAGGATATTAGAATCTCCACTGACTTCTTGGCCTGGCCTGTGGTCTACGGATATTCAACTTCCTTGTGTACACAGTTTTTGTCATCTGCCATTCACTCCAATAATAACTCTCTATATACACCAGCCATGTTAATGCTTATTAGCCCTCATGATGACAGTGATCAATGGTGAAAAGTAAACAGATTATCTTATATTATTTAACAAAGCTAAAGTAGATAAGTTATGCTGATTGGTAGGTAAGTGAGTCAGTTAATACCCCCTCTTGTAGACAGACTGCCATTTGTGGATTTTTAAAGTTATTTCTCAGTTGTCAAATTCTAGTTTAATTCAGCCTATGATGTGCTGTTGTGTTACTGTAGAATAATTGTATGTTAACTTCAAAAAAAAAAAAAAAAAGAAACCCAGGAATAAATAGTCCAGTCCAGTATTATAGGGGTGTTATGACATGACTTTATGGCTGTTCACACAATGTGCAGAAAACTGCATGTGCAACAGATGGAAAGATCTATGTACATGTGAATTTTTTCACATACTGATGTGAACAACTGTGCAGCAACGTTGTGTGTGTGTTTTTGTTGTTATGTGAACAAACTCTTATGTGCAGTTATCAAGGGGATACAATTTGGATTTGTGGGTGGGGTGAGGGGGCAGAAAAGGGGCCATCATCTTGGGAGAAAATATGGACTGACAGTCTGCATGTATCTATACTGCTTGTTTACCCATAAGTTGACATTCATACAGTTTAATGTGGTTAGTAGATCTGAAGATGTCATTGTGAATGCAACAACTGACTGACTGAACTGCCGACCAGCACTGACTGACTATTATTGTTGCTGTGGCCAAAACAGACTACTGTCCCCAAGAATGGTTGTGAACATGTTGAGGCCAGCTCATTTAAGGCATAAACTGACATAGGGTAAGATTCTAGGAGATGCCGCTGCATCCAATTCTGCCTCTTCTACCTCTCCTTTGCCGCTCCTGATTCTCAGTGACAGCACCATGAGATGATTCTTGGAGCAGCATCTGGATGAATGCAAGATGCTAGACTGCTGCAGAAAAGCAACGCTGCTCTACTTATAATGTACCAATGCTGACAGTTCAAGGAAATTCACCGTGAAGTCATGAAGAAGAGAGAATGGGACTTTATTCCAAACAGGTAAAAAAAAAAAACCTCACACACTGAGAATGATGATGCAAAAAAAAAAAAAACCCCAGCTGATATTGATGACGTAAAAAAATGTTAACAACAACCCAACACATAACAACCCCAAAAATAGTGTACTGTACTGGGGATTCCAGCATTTACTTTGTTTGGGGTGACGAAAATAATTTTACCATTTATTCTACTTTGATAATGTACTTTCCTTCATGCACAACATCAGTTACATAAGAAAATATTGGCAAATATTTCTAGTCTCATAACATTTTTGTGCACACATCTAATAGCCAAGAGTATGAAATAGTATGCTTTCTGAAACAGTATAAACAGACATGGAGGGTCACTTCCTGAGAGATGGTGGTGGTTGTGCTGTTAATCAAAACAAGAGGCCTGACAAATTAGTTGCACAACTACAGCTAAAAGATGTCATCAGAGCAACATCCAGTGGTCTGCATGGCATTGAACATCTTAACTTACAAAATGTTTCAAATGAGACCGAGCTGCTCAAAAGGTAACTTTAAATTTTAGCAGTTTGAATAATATTAGTGTTTATAGAGCTTTTTTTTTTTTAAATTAAAGAAAAACAAAATGGCAGTGCTCATCACAAATATTCTCAAAAAAGATGTAGATGATCATGGCAAAGTGTTTATTACAGTAACTCTAAAATAATTATGCCTAAAAGGTGTCAGGACTGCACACTGGTGTGTACCTCTACAAAAATCCTGGAGTATTGATCGCATCACACAAAAAGTACTGGTTCTTTTTTTTAAAAAATATTCTATGCCATGTGACGCTGGTAGCAATGCTTTCCACAATGTTCTGTCTCCTGTACTTTTAGTTAATTCTGACACAGATAATTTTCCATGTCATGATGTCAAACTGTCCAACTTCATCTCTGTCTGTCTCCCTCTGACTCTTTTCCTCTCCAACTTTCCCACCGTCAAAATGTACTCCAGTTTTCTCCTTCTTATGACATGATTTCATTTGACTTGACTTTCTACCCCACTAGGACATCACACAAGCGACAAACACCCGATGACACAAAGTGCCACCATATGGATGAGGATCGCCGTGGAGAGGTCCCAGAAACCACGTTCAGACAATTGGCCATATGTATGGCCTGCCTATATTGTGGCCCCTGGCAAAACCAGGGTAGGGCTTCAAATGAAAAAAAATTTCGACGAGACTTCATAACAGTAGTTACTAATTCTTATGACATGGCCAAAAGATGTAGATGTCTCCTTCTGATGTGGAAAATCAGTGCTCTTCATGAGTCAAGTTTCTTTCAAGACATCTTCATTACTCATTTTTGGACAATTATTTGGATTAGGCAGAAATGTGGTTTTATAGATGAATGGTAAATGCTGATTAGTCTGTAAACATTTGGAGCACCATATACCCAGTACACCCCAAGTTGGGAAAAATAGTCCTTTACCACTTTGCACTATTACTCAAGTTATTTTTAAGTATTTAGAAGCAGACCACTTTGAGGTGATTTTGGCGATGGTTTAAGCGTAGTATTATTCAGAAAGAAATAGCAAACTAGTGAATACAAAATTGTTTAGAAAAAAACAGCCTTTAAATGCTAGTATTGGTATGTGAAGTCATATAAAGAATACAAAAGCATTATATATTATAATTCAGCATATGTAATCTTCTACTTCTTCATACTCTTATGGCAGTAACTGTATATGGCAGTATCTGTATATGGCAGTATCTGTATACATTCACTTTTCTGGTTTGCATAATTTATGTGAGAGCAAGAGGACACATAAGGAGAAAATGGATTGATGACTTTGAAGATCTGATATGTACAAATGGAATGATAAAGATCCCTGTTAATTACTGAGCACCCAACCCAAAACTGTTCCTCTCAACTAAGCTTAACTGTAAAAATGGAAAAGTTGATGATGGTGATGATCACTTTATGTAGACAGTCAAAAGCAGAAATTAGTACAACAATTGCCTTCCGGAATGTTTAAAAAAAAACGTAGTGATGTCAGTAAAATTATTTAAGGTTAACAATTAAAAGGCAACACTTTGCCTTTTGGCACTCATATTCTCTCTCTTGTTTGTTTTTGTTTTTGCTGGAACTTTAGACAAATGCTGTCAGAGTTTGTACCTCGACCACCCAAGAGAGAAAGGAGAATGAAGCCAGTGTTTCATGAGAAGGTAAAATTCAAAGTGTTAAACATTTTCAATGTCCACCATAGTGTTGTATTTACATGTATTTGACAAATATAGTTATTACTGTCAGTCTGTAAGTAGACTAACATGAAATAGCTTCAAAAATATTTTTTGAATTCATTTAGTGCATACAAATTAGTAACTTCTTCTTCTTTGTTCACCGGCTGGCAATTCCGGCGGAAGGTCCTGGTTGTTCATGCAATTATATTTTGGCTTTGTGCCAGTGCCTGAATTTTGTGTGTACATCGATTTTGCTGGCTTGGTTGTGTGCTGTTGATAGTTCTTTGCTGCTTAGGCAGATGCACTGCCAGTTTAAAGGAAGTCCCCAATTTGCCGATTCTTATGACATTCTTGTTTGGGAGGCAATAGGTTTATTCTTGTTTACCCCACACTGGGGCCCCGGAACCCACATGGGAAAAGTTAGTAACAATATAGTCATTTGCATTACACTACATTTTCTTCATCCCAAGTTGATTATCCCTAAAATGACAGCAAAAAAATGTCCTACGAAATAAAGTCACCTGGCATGATAGCCACCACATTATCCAGCAAATGCGGTTAAAGCTTTAACAATAGGGTTGTAGCACCTTATACTAAATGCGCTGATGGTGTTAGATGAAGGCTAAGGCGCCAGCATAGAAAGATGATTAATAAAATACAGCGGGCAGATGATCCACAGGCCACCTGCCAGGCATCTGCAGACCAGATTAGGCCCATGGGCCACCTGCCATGCATCTGCAGACCAGATTAGTTCCATGAGCCACCTGCGAGGCCTCTGCAGACCAGATTAGGCCCATGAGCCACCTGCCAGGCATCTGCAGACCAGATTAGGCCCATGAGACACCTGCGAGGCCTCTGCAGACCAGATTAGGCCCATGAGCCACCTGCGAGGCCTCTGCAGACCAGATTAGGCCCATGAGCCACCTGCGAGGCCTCTGCAGACCAGATTAGGCCCATGAGCCACCTGCGAGGCCTCTGCAGACCAGATTAGGCCCATGAGCCACCTGCCAGGCCTCTGCAGACCAGATTAGGCCCATGAGCCACCTGCGAGGCCTCTGCAGACCAGATTAGGCCCATGAGCCACCTGCGAGGCCTCTGCAGACCAGATTAGGCCCATGAGCCACCTGCCAGGCCTCTGCAGACCAGATTAGGCCCATGAGCCACCTGCGAGGCCTCTGCAGACCAGATTAGGCCCATGAGCCACCTGCCAGGCATCTGCAGACCAGATTAGGCCGATGAGACACCTGCCAGGCATCTGCAGACCAGATTACGCCTGTGAGCCATCAGTTGAATTGCCCTGGTTACATTTCCATGGAAGCCAAGTTTGACTGACTGACTTTCTACCCCACCAGGACATCACACAAGTGATAAACACCCGATGACACAATGTGCCACCATGTGGATGAGGATCACAGTGGAGAGGTCCCAGAAACTGCGTTCAGCCTTCAGGCCATATTTATGGACGGGCTATATTGCGGCCCCTGGCAAGAGCCAGAGTAGGGCTAAAAATGACGGGAAGTATTAATATAATTTTTCGGATGTGCGCACTGAAGCAGAGTTTAAAATATAATACCTATATATTTAAAGACTGACACTCGTTTTTGTAGGATTCACAACTTAAGAAAGTTGAATTTTGTACTGACATCACAGTACTCGGGACACTAGCATAAGTATTCCAACTCCATCTTTAGCAGCAAGAGCAGAGTTCCAATTCCAGTATAGAAACCAGTAACAGTATGAAATTACAATATCTTGTTTAAGAATGGAGGTGAAAGTGGTCACTGCAGCCTTTTACTGGCTTGAGAACCAGATGTAATTGTAATTGACTCACAGAGCATGATGACAATGGTGGAGCCAGTTATACTCTGTGCAGGGTGGCAAGCATCACTTTAGAGGTCCTGGTAGTTAGCGCCCTTAGGATATTTTCTCCAGGTCATGCCTGTGTGTTGGGAAATTAACAGACTTGTAGATTGGCTGTTGTGCAACACTTGGTGGTGAATCGGTCCATGACAAATTAAATGTTGTTAAGGTCTTTTTGGGAGCGGGTGAACAGTGTTGAAGCACAAATAGATCACCATGGTCTATGGAATGATAGGAAGACAGAAAGACCATTTAGAAATATAATTAAAAAACAACAACCTGAAACAAACATAGGAATTTAAGTATTTGAAAGCAATTTTCACATCCAATGGAAAACTGGACAGAGAAATTAGCTCCAGATGTGCCAAAGCTAATCAAGTAATGGGTCAACTATCTCCTCTATTGACACACAAGCAGATACCTCGGAGTACTAAAGTGAATCTTATCAGAACTATTTTTTGGCCAACACTATGCTATCAATGCCAAACGTGGACACTTACGTCCTCCAATGAACGTAAAATTGTGACAACAGAGATGATATGCCTTAGAAGAGCTGCAGGAGTTTCAAGGAAGACAGAATACGAAATCATGAAATCACTCGAATGCTAGGAATAAAGCCAGTCTCACAGGTCATCAAAGAACAACAAATGAAGTGGTTTGGACACCTAACAAGAATGCCCTGGTACTATCTGCCACAGCGAGCCACACTAAAACGTTACAATGGGTATAGAGCGAGTGGAAGACCTCGGAAAAGATGGAGTGATGGTATTAAGAACAACCTTACAGAAATGAACATCAGTCTTAATAGTGCTCTTGAAAGAGCTCATCAACGAACATCTCCCCCGACACTTCGATGAGGTACAAGGTGGAAGAGAAGAAGAAGAAGAAGAAGAAGAAATATGGTCTATGGAGAATGGTGCTGTGAAGAATGACCAGGGGATCTGGCCGATGCTCAGCACTCGAGGGATAGGTGAGATCGATATACAATCAGACTGTTACTGGTTATTATCGGAACTGGAACTCTGTGCTTGCTGCTAAAGATGGGGATGGAACACTTATGGGAATATCCAGAGTAGTGTGATATCAGTAGTTTACTCACCATTCAACATTCTTACATTCTGACCACTTCACCAACGAGTGTCAATCTATAAAATATATAGGTCTAACACTGTCTACTCTAATCTTTGCTGTAGTGGTTAGACGCTCACCTGCAAATCGGAAGGTCATGGGTTCAGGTTAAAAAATATGATCTTGGCTCCCAGGTCAACCCTGTGGAGTTGTGGGAAGTAAAGGTGACTGGTGTGATGCTGACCACATCATCCACTCAGTGCTGATTGGTCTATAAAATAAAGGTCTAGCCCTATACGCCCAATACACTCGAAGACGTGTAAAGGGTCCTTTACTTTTATTATCTACCCAATGTGTTACTGACATGAAAATAGGTCTCGAACAATACATTTCTCATTCTATATCCTCTTCATGTCACTGTTGACACATAAGGCATTCACAAGTGATCTCCATTGCTGCCAGTTTGCTGCTTGTCTGCTCATGGTATCCCATGTCAGTTTACATTCCTTCATTTCCCGTTCTTTTGTCCTTCTCCAGGTTTCCTTAGGTCGTCCATGTCTCCCTTTGCCATCTGCTGTCCACCGGAGAGCTGTTTTTGCCAGAGTGTCACAAGGCATTCTACAAACATGTCCAAGCTATCTCCGTCGTCTTACTGTGATAACATTTGTCAGTGATGCACATTCTCTTTCCTCCTCAGTTCTTCATTTGTGATCTTGTTTGGCCAAAATATTTGTAGACATCATCTTAAAATTCTCCTTCTTATGCAGTGTGTTATTTAGCAGACATGTCAGTTCTATGGGTGGCTAACATTGCTGCCTACATTACCTTTCGGCAGGATCAGTACCTCACACGACCAAGAGTCACTGCTCACTCAGCTGTGGATCCAGCATCAAGTATTGCTTTAGACTCGAGAACCAGGAGATACCCGTACCTCAACAAAAGACTTGTCACTACTGCAGGTAAGTTTCAGACACTATCAACAACATCTGTTTACCTTAAAATTCTTCGGATGCCATTTCATAGGGTACAAGCAGACAGTGAAGTTCATACTAGAGACAACATTACAGATAATCTTTTTCAAGCGAACGAAAGAAGAAGAAGAAGAAAAAGATGAAGAATATGGTATAAAACCCACCATAAGCTTAAAACTATAATATGCTTTCCTTAACACACTGTTGCAAAAGTGATTTTCATTGCATTTTCACAATCAGTTATTTGACTATGCTATTTCATAGTGTTATTATTAAAACTGTTACTTGTTATTATTCATATTGTTATTTTAACTTTAAAGAAGAATACTTACTCATCATTAAGTGGCAAGACAAGATCACAAACACTGAGGTATGGGGAAAGAGCATGTATCACAAACCGTTTTCACAATGCTCAGTCTTCAAAGGCTCAAATGGCAAGGATGCACTTGGAGCATCAAGGATAGTAGAATCCCTAAGGAAATCTTCTATAGTCAATTACAGATGGTAAAATGGTAAAAGATGTTAAGCTCAGCTTTTGCAGTGATATACAGATGTGTCTAAGTGGGATATGAATGATACAGGCATTGAGATAGATTCTTGGGAGCAGAATACCATGGACTATATTCATATTGGATAAAAAGAAGGGGGGGGGGGGGAATCGAGAAAGGAGTAGGGTATAAATTAGAACAATATTCCAGATAGGTTAAGAGCTTAACGTTTGATAAGAACATGTTAAATACATACAGTATATATATATACATACATATATATATATATATATATATATATATATATATATATATATATATATATATATATATATATATATATATATATATATATATATATATATATATGTATATGTATATTCAATTTTGATGCATAATGTTTGTGTGCATAGATTTGAAGAAACCTCATATATCTTCTCTGGGTGTGATACCAGTTCGTTCAAGGTAATTAATTAACATTTACTTTTCCTATTAAAATTCTTTTATGGTGCACTACTTATCTTTTCTGATTATGATTATGGTTATGCTAGCTCAGTATATGTCATCAGTGCGCATTGTTTTTATATTATGAAAATGGAATGAAAAACAAAAATATAAGGTAATACAAACATGAAATAAGGTGGTGTTGGAGGGGGGTGGGGGAAATTGTGTGAAAAGCAGCTCGGAGGTGTGATGATGTCGACCTTTAGTTAGAGAGAATGAAGAATGAGTAATAATGTGGAATTTAATAACAAAAATCCTGAGTAGACGAGCTAATGTTGTCATTGGCTAATTTACATTCATATTAGTCTTGGATTCAAATAGCTCTCAAGTCAAAAATAAAAAAATAAAAATTAAAAAAATTCAGCCTGACAAAAATAGGTACCCGAAAATTTGCTAAGAAATGAAAAGCAGTCAGCAGGTTACTAACCACACCACCCATAAGCTGACTGACTGGCAGCTGTCATGCTGAATATCTGGGAACAGTATTCAATTGAGATGGGAACATCAGATGCAGTAAAGCTAACCAAGTACTGGGACAGCTAGCCTTCCTCTTACAACACAACACAATCCTAATCAGTACAAAGAACTATATCATGCAAAGCATATTCATTCCCACCCTGTGCTACCAGTCCAAGACATGGTCGCTCACCACTTCTTCTTCTTCTTCTTCTGCTTCTTCTTCTTCTCCTCTTCCACCTTGTACCTCAGTGAAGTGTCGGGGGATGTTATGTTCGTTGATGAGCTCGGTCAAGAGCACTATTAGAATTGATGTTTATTTCTGTAAGGCTGTTCTTAATTCCATCAATCCATCTTTTCCAAGGTCTTCCCCTCGCTTTATACTCATTGTTTCAGCATGGTTCGCTGTGGTAGATGGTACCAGGGCATCACTCACAACTAAACCATAACAGAAAATTAGTATCTTTGGAAATGAGATGCCTGAGAAGGGTTGCAGGAGTGAACACGAGAGATAAAATCAGAAATGGGGTGAAGAGAATAAGTTGTGATACTGACCACATCTTACCTGGTGTACTATATCCTCGTGTAAAGGTCAGCTTAGCACCCTAGGCAGAATATATCACCATAGCATGGAAACAAAGTCCCTTACTCAGAATTGCATTTACTTTATTCCTTGATACAGCTTTTTCTCAACTATTGAATTAGTTCTGATCCAACTAACAAGTTGTAAGTGAAACTTGTTGTATATCAGGATTGTATTTTTCAACAACATTTTCATTCAGAAGGGTAATAAAAAAATTGTTCATAGACCACAAACTAAGCTATGCATATATAATTGTACATAATGTGAAAAACACATAATATGTACTCTGTTGAACATACTGTAAACACAAATGCAACCTAAAATTACTATTTTAAAGTTAATAATTTTTGTAGTCAGAAGTGCTGATGATTGTAAATCACATAGGTCATAAGTCAAGGAGAAAGTGTATATTGTTCTAAACAGCAATAGTTCTGTTGAATTTAAAACTGTGGTTGAACAGACACTTCCTGTTTTGTTGATTATACTCATATCATTATTTACAGTGCAGAAATTCCATTCCTGAGGGTGGTTCTGGAAGGTGTCCCTGCAGCAGCAGTTCTTGAAGAAGAGGTTTGTTTTCTGTAAAATTCATAATTCACATTTGATGCAGTCTGAATATACCTTTAAAATTGCATATGCTTTGGGATTCCACTCCAGTATAACGGATAGGCAGGTTTACTGTTTTTAATCATGGCAAGTTTGTACTTCCGGCAGTGGTTAGCTGTTGCATCCCCCACCTTGCCCCCATATGTGGACTGAAATTAGATCTAGTTCCATCGCCCAGCTACTGAGTTGAGTAGCGCTGCTGATTTAATTTGGAATGCTTTTTGACTGTTCCCAGTGTAGCTTATGTTGTGAACTGCAGATTCAGAAAATAGTGAATGGCCTGTTGCAACAGAACTAATTGTGCCTTGTGCGATTAATTGTGTGTGCAGCTACTGATCTCTTTTAGCTGCTTCTTCCATTGATGATAAACAATATTTCTACAGATCTGTATTTCTAGTGCCTGACTGTTTGTGTTGGCACTTCTAGCAGCTGCCTTAAGCATTTAATGCTTGTGTGTGCTATTGGCTTTGCTGAGACTACCGTCTGTGTCAGTTATTTCACAAGTTGCAGCATTTGGCATTCAATGTAAAAATATGATGGGATGACTTCCGTCCAAAATGGAGGAAAGGCTTGGCAGAATGTTAAGCTTCGAAGTTATCTTTGCTTCCAAAAGTGCTTTGCTAAAGTAGTTTCCATATAAGAACGGTAGTCTACGGTTTCGCTGCCTGAGCTACTGAGTTTAGTGCTTGGTTGCCACCCTGTGAGCTGTGTTTTTCCTGTGAAATGCCTTTACTTTGTGCAGCGGTTGTATTGTTTTGTATTCAATATGGCCGGTAGCCGGTTTACGTGTGAGTTGGTGAAATACCTTATGTAAGAGTTCTAAGTTGTATAGTAACCAACATATCGTGCCCGACTGCTTCCATCAACGACAAACTAAATTTCTGGTGGCAATTATTGGCTTTAGCATCTCTAGTAACTGAAATATGCATTCACTGCGTGCACATATTTCTGGATTGTTCTGGGACTAATTGTTTGTTCACCAGTTTTTCAAATGGGACAGTGAGGGACATTTCATTTGATTCACACTGGCACAGAAACAGAGCAAGTATGGGGACACAGGATTGTGGTGATGTTGAAACCTCGACTAAGACAGGACTAAGACTAATAGGATGGGACACAAGAAAATGAATTCACTGTTAAGTTAGAATGGGTTAAAACTACAGCTGGTTAGCTTACCAGGCACACTAAAAATATAACATGACATCAGCTCCAGTAAACATGATTGTAGTCTGTGTCAGTTATTTCACAAGAGACAGCAGTGGGTTCGTTCCTCCCCCCCCCATAATGGGACCCCACAATTCATAAGGGGATGAGTCACAATGAAAGAAAACTTTTAGTTTATTTTGCAAAGATTAAATAAGCCAACCTATCTAATATAAATATTCTACAGTATGTATGAGTCAGCGTGGAAGAGCGGCTAGACGCTCGCCGCGGATCGGAATGTCGTGGGTTCGCTCCTTGGTGGAGCCGGACTTTAAAAAAAAAATGACCTTAGCTCCCAGGTCGACCCAGCCTTGAGTACGTACCGGGTGCAGTCCCAGGAAGTAATGGCGGCCGGCGTGTGATGCTGACCACATCACCCATCTTGTGCCGATTGGTCTATAAAATATAGGTCTAGCCCTATATGCCCTATACACCAAAAGGCATGGAAAAGGGTCTTTTACTTTTTACTTACTTACTAACAGTATGTATATCTGTTATTTATTATATTTTTTTGGGGGTACTTTTAGGGATAATTCTTTTGGTTCACCTGTGTTGTTGAGCTGAAAGTGAAGTTGAAGTTAAAAATTTTTTTTTTTTTCGAAAATGTGTATTGCTTAAATAATGTTTAGTTTATGTTCTGTTGTATATTTAATTCCTTTCTGGTGAAAATATTTTAACAGAGGTTTTCTGATTTTCTTACATTATAAAACAGGTGAAATCAAGACTTTGTAACACTCCAGTTGTACCATTTGTCACTCCTGAGTTTCCCACTGAGGATGAATACTCTTGCAGAGATTACATGTCTAAGAAGACAATTAAACAACAAGAAATAGAAACCAAACAGAGAGAAACTATGTCTATGAAACCTGCTATTCTTCCAAAAGTTGGAACGGCTGTATCGGTTAAATTTTGTCAAAGAGAGAAGCCAGCACCAAAGCCATCATATTTGCATGGACGTAAGAAACAAGAAAGTAAGAATTAAAGTAAATTATAAACAAAGCTTGTAAGTACTAAGTAAAGGATCATTTTCATGCCATTGGGCATGTGATGCTAGACCACTATTTTTATTGACTAGTCTGTACTCAGTTGATGATGTGGCCAACACTACACCAATCACCTTGTCAACATCAAAGATCAGATCGTTTATTTAAAAAATCAGCTTTGATGCAAATTTTAACACAAGATCTTTGGCTGGACTGGCCAAAGATCTCGGCACTCTGCTACGACAGCTCCCAGAATAATATGAAATAAAATATTTGAAAAAAGAAATTGTGAGCTTCCCCCTTTTGTGAGACTTGGTTGACTTCAGGATATCTTTTATTCCAAGATGTGTAGCTTATTTGCTTTTCTCAGTAGTGAAACATTAATCTGTTATTCTTTGGCTTTTAATATTTTTATTTTCTAGGCATACATTAATACTGGAACAAATAAAACACTGAGATGAAAAAACAACAAAAAAGAATTTTCTTGTGCAGTTCAGGCATAAACACATTTTGTCCTTGATAGTTCTTTGCAGTTTGTGAACTGTGCTGAGATTAGAATAATTATAAAACTTTTATTCATCATCATCATCATTGTGTTTTGTATGCCATTAGACGTTGCATAAGGCTCACATTCGATTCCTCCACTCCCCTCTGTTGCATGCAGCTTTCTCGATTTCTGACATGGAGTTTTGCCCAGCATTGTTTTTTTGGCCTCTTGTAATAATTTTCTTCTTAATGTTTCCCTTGGACATTCTCTCTCTCTCTCTCTCTCTCTCTCTCTCTCTTCTCTCTACTCTCTTCTCTCTCTCTCTCTTATCTCTCTCTCTCTCTCATGGTTTGTTTTCCATTTCAGTGTCTGTTATGCAATTCTTTGTTCATTTCCTCTTATGGTGTGCCCAATATATCTTTACATTCTTTGTCTTACTGCAGTTGATACCACAGAGCTTTTATTGTCAACTGTATAACCAACGGGTATATGGAATTATCATATACAGTAAAGGGGAGTCGCCATGGTGTAGCGGCTAAACACTCGCGTGTGGATTTTTCAAAAATGACCTTGACTCCCAGGTCGACCCAGCCTTGAGTGGGTATCAGGTGCAGTCCCGGGAAGTAAAGGCAGCTGGCGTGATGCTGACCACATCATGCATCTTGTGCCGATTGGTCTATAAAAATATAGATTTAGTCTGGTCTATAAAAATATAGATTTAGTCCTATATACCCTATACACTTGAAGGCGTGGAAAAGGGACCTTTACTTTACTTATATACAGTAATGAAATAATGTGTTCACATGTGGTTCTCTTACATTGTGACTGTACCAACAAGAATTCTAGTATATACATAGCTCACCAAAATTGTATATATACCTTAACAAATGTCAGCTGAGAACTTAACTTGAAGGTATATTGAATTATCATTGATTCGGGTCCTGACGGTACCAGACTTAAAAAAAAATGACCTTAGCTCCCAGGTCAACCTAGCCTTGTATAGGTACCAAGTGGAGTCCTGGGAAGTAAAAGTGGCCAGTGTGATGCTGACCGCATCACCCACCAAGTGCTGATTGGTCTAAATATAGCTCTAGCCCTATTTGCCCAGTATACCTGAAGACCTGGAAATTGTCGATTAGTTGTCGGCGGCGATTACGACGACACAGAAGCAGAAGCGGAAGCAGAAGAAGACACATGTCTATACACTTATGGTAACCACTTTGTGCACTTTGAATAATTGTAGAGACCAAAGGTAACTTGTATTCATCACTTTATGAGTTTAATATTGCAAATTTTATGCAGCTTTTTCTTTTGCTGAATTGTCTGTGCATTCTTTTGGGAGACTGTGAGTTAGAATCATTTTGGAGCTTTCACATTTAACTATTATACAAACAGGGGCTGTGCCAGCACTACAGAGACCAGCTTCTGCCCAGAGCATCCAGTCATCTCTTGTAAGTGGGGAGATCAACTTGAATGAAGAATATGATGACAACAGGGAAGTGATGTCTGGTGATGGTGATGTGGAAACTGCTGTCAGAGTTGCCTGCAGAATGCACAGTCATAGCTCTCAAGATGGATCTGTGAGCAAATTATTTTTATCACTCATTGTTACTGTATAATTTAATGATTTACTCATGTTATTGTTGCCCTTAAAAAAAAATCAGAGTATAGTAACACTGAACCCTACCATGCAAGTTGCAGAGTTGAGTTGAGCTGATTCAAGAACCGACAAAACAGCACTCGGGGCATTACCATAAGCGCTCTGTCCCCATCCTCAGCAGCCATTTAAGAGTTCTGAAACTGATGGTGCCAGTAGCATTCTGATTAAACATCCGTATAGTCTTTCCTCTGAGCCTCTAGCATCTGCCAAAACCTCTCATACTCGCCGCTGCATCAATCTCACCAGACTGTGGTGATCCATCTGCTCCTCCGAACTGTACACACTCTCCCACATGTGCATGTTGTAAGAAGCAACAATGGGTTGGGCAGTAATAGAGATATTAAAATATAAATACAAAAGGCAAAAGGAGATTTATAGCACCAGGGAATTTGTGGAGGAAAAAAAAAATTTTAAACAAACAAAAACAAAAAAATACTGTTACTACTGTTTGCCTACAACTTATTTTTAGGACAGTGTAGATAGGGGAGTCGTGAGCCTGAGGATTTAGGGCCCCATGGCTAGTGTGGCAAAGTGGACACTTACATCCTCCAGTGAACGTAAAATGTGACAGCAGAGATGAAATGCCTTAGAAGAGCTGCAGGAGTTTCAAGAAAAGACAGAATACGAAATC